CATCCCTCAGCCATCATGCTTTAAGAGGGGTGGACTTCAACTCCCAGAATCCCTCAGTTGGCATACTTTACAACTGTCCTGACTTACGACCAAATTGTGGGCTTAAGGTCAGAGGTTGAAGACTACCTGTAGTTAAGTTCAGTCTTTTTTCAACCTTAGAAACTCTTTACGGTGGGTGGACTCCAACTCCCAGAATTCCCCAGCGGTCCAGCTCAACCCTGCCCTTCCCCAAACCCAAGGATCGATCAGCTGTCACCCCTAAGATTTAGGGTAACCCAACTGAATGAATTATAGCTCCATCTTCCAAGGCTGAGCAGAGGGGAGGCGTGCAACGGATTGTCGGTGTGGAGTCGCACAATCCCAAAATTGGCTGGATCTGCAAGATGCATCCTCGTTCATGCCCAAAACTGCCAAGGATGCAACCATCACGACAAAGGAATTTCGGGTTCAATTCATCAAAAGTTTTCCCTCTGATTGACAGCTCTAACCACTAGTCGGGGCCACCTGATCTGCCAATCTGCAACTTCTCTCTCCAAATCACAAATTTCAGTTCTCCGGAATGACCCAATATCCATATATAAAAAAGCGAAATATGCCCCTCATGCGTCATCACAAAATCTCCAGAACCGTAAAGCCTACAAACTTGAAATTGGGCCTATATGTTCCTCTCGGCTTCTAGGGGCTCGCTAAGAAAGGATTTTTCCAAATGACCCTCAGAGCATTTAAAATATTTCCTATATTATTATTATTATTATTATTATTATTATTATTATTATTATTATTATTATTATTATTATTATTATCTGATGCTAAGCAGTTCTACTCCCCCTCCCCACCTGGAAAGAAATCTCTTCCCAATGCAAAACACAAGCAGAGGAGTTTTAGTTTGAGAGCACCAAGCAGCTTTAGTACAGAACAGTTGAGCTCAGCCACACCCAGGCTCCTTGCTGTCCCCTTCTTGCTCACACAGCAAACTCTTTCAGTTTCCAAACAGCCCTCATTTCTTTCACACACAGACAGGACACTAGCCAGATGAATACCGATAGATGCTGGTAGGCAGAGGCTGAATTTGTTTCCCCTTATTTTCCTCCCCCAAAACGAAGCCCGACCACATAGTTTCGTGACGAAGCACATGGGTATCCAGCTAGTCTGCAATATTTGTTGCTTTGGCTCTCCCCCCCATCCTCCGAAACCACCCCTGGGGAGAATTTGAGTTCCAATTTACAGGTAGCCCTCGAGTTTTATAAGAGTTCCACTTAGCAACCGTTCAAAATTACAACGGCCCTGAAAAAAAAGTGATGTAGCAGTTTTTCACACCATCTCCAATGGGATCAAAACTCAGCTCGGCCAGTGACTCAGATTTAGAACGTCCTGGGATCCCCTTTTGCGACCTTCGGATGGGGAAGCCAGATTCGCTTAACGACCGTCTTCCTTGCTTAACAACAGCAAGGATTCACTTAACAACAGGGGCCAAAACTCCCACCACAGGGCAAAAGTTAACACATTTCTCACTTAGCCACGTCAACGTGGAGGCCAATTGTGGCCGTAAGGCAGTGGTGGCTAACCTTTTTTGGGCTCCTGTGCCAAAAATTGTGCGTACGCTCACACTTTGTGTGCCAGCACCCAGAAAACAATGTGTGCGCCCCTTACACATGCATACGTAATATCCACCCACCTACCCCCGCCACTCCCTTATCTGCACTCAGCCTCACAGCTGATTTTCGGCCATTTTGAGGCCTTTTTCAGCCTCCCAGAGGCTTGAGGAAGGCTTCTGCAGGCCGAAAACTAGGCCCGTTTCGTCACTTCCGGTATTTTTTGGAAAAACAGCAAAGTGACAAAATGGGGCCAGTTTTTGGCCTGCAGAAGCCTTCCTCAAGCCTCTGGGAAGCTGAAAAAGGCCTCAAACCATTCAAAAATCAGCTGTGAGGGGCGCACATGCACAGTGAGGTAACTTTGCCTGCAGCTCGCATGCCGGCACAAATGGCTCTGCGTGCCACTTATGACATGTGTGCCAGAGGTTCGCCATCACGACCGTAAGGCGAGGACTATCTATGATGAGGTTGCAACGTCAAGCCCCCCCTCGTCCCCCCGCAAAAGAAACTGAGGTCAAAGGGCAGCTAAATTTGAAAGCTGAAAAAAAAACACACACTGAAAACGTAAAATAAGAAACATGTTTTTTTTTTCCATTTAATACTAGAATCTCTCAATATTTGAGATGCAGGCTCTTTTTTTTTTTTATGCAATTACATCCAATGTTAAAATTGGTAATACATAATTTACAAAGATTAACATCAAAACAATGGTCTATTTAGATATGCTTTTGTAAAAAGGAAATATATTAGCAGCAATTCTTCTCAGTCACCACACGGCCTCTCCCATGAAGACCGAAAAGTTTTGTTATCTCCACTTTGCCACAAATGTAGTGCTTTCGTTTTATTCTTTCTTTCTTTCATTCATTATTATTATTTCTTTCTTTTTCTTTTTTAAATTTTTCCTGGGCTTTCTTTCTTTTTTTTTAATCAGCTTGATCGGGGTTGCGTTTCAGTCTGGTCTCCTTTTTCTAAAAAAAGTTTTCGTACAAAATAACCTTCCCCCTTCCCCTCCCAATCCCAGCTGTCTCAATTTACTTTATTTTATGATTTTTATTTTTTTTTCCTGGTTAAAAAGTCAAGCGATTCTCTACAACCAGTTTTAAGAAAAAAAGCCAAAAAAAAAAGGGGGGGGGGGGGAAGGAAGAGAAAAAAAAAACTTTGTTTTTTTAAAAAAAGGAACAGGAGGAAGAAGGGGAAAAAAAGAAAAGAAAAGAAAAAAGCCAACACAAATTCTTCACGCTTCTCTAGAATTTGATTGTCTAAAAATCATCGGCTTTTATTTATTTATTTACTTACTTACTCTTTCGACAAAAAAAGAAAGATTTCTCTCTTTTCTTTAAAACAAACAAACAAACAAAAAAAAAAAATAAAACGGCAAAGTTTTTAGTGTCTCACATCTCACATCCGGGCACGGTTTTTTTTATTTTGTTTTTATTTTTTTAAAAAAAGATCAACATTATTATTATTATTATTATTCTCTGCTCCATCGTCAGCAACATCGAACATTATTAATTTTCTCTTTAAAAAGGACTTTTTTAAAAAAAACCTCTCTCTCTCTCTTTTTTTTTTAGTGTTTGACACCATTTCGAGACCAAAAAAAAAAAAAAAAAAAAATTCCCATTTTCGAACTCGGCGCAACTCAGAAAAAAACAAAACAAAAAAACAAAAGCATTTCTTTCCTCTCCCCTCCCACAAGACCCTCATTTTTAAAACATGCGATTTTGGGGGTTCGCCCCGCACGACACAAACGTTCGAGTATCACATACTCTTGCCTATACAATTGGTTCTCTCTACAGTAAGAAAATATTCCAAGCGGTTGGTTTCTCCTTTTCGTCTTTTGCGTGGGGTTTTTTTTTTTTAAATTCCCGTCCTTTTTTTTTTTTAATAAAATATTTTTTTTATTCTTTTGAG